ACACATAATCTCGAATCTCATTTGTAATCTTGAATTCAAAATAACTATAGCCATGGGACCTTGAATTATTTGCACTTGATTTGCTGAAACGTTTAAGAATCCATGGATTATAGTATGTGATTGTAAAGATGCACTTTTGGGATTTGTTGCAAAGTGTGTTTTATTGTTTCTGTTCCAAATTAAACACGAAGTTTATGTTCTATTGTACTATCAACGTTTTACACTTTATTTTTATTTTTTTGTGAAAAGAAAAGAAAACCATTCAATACAACTTCCCAATTATGACATTTCACTAAAGAAATATGGGTATTTTTGTTGAAAAAATGTAGGAGCTAGCAGTTTGGTTGAATAGATTTCACATTAATTCAATAATTTCAGACGCTTTGATGGCGAAAGCATTTCGACAACATCCGTTATGGATGTACGGTGACGTTTGAACTCGATGTATCCACTGGTCTTTTTCACTCCTTCCAAATTCCTGCATTGAAGTAAAATACATTATAAATTATTATAATGAAGACATAATTATAAATTTAAATTTGGGGTATTTACTCCGAGATAAATTTCAATGCTGTTGCCTTCAGTTTTGGTGCATTACGTGTATCAGCCAATATGAAATATTCACAAGCAGTATGGACGTTAATTTTTCCTGCACGAATGATGTATTTTTCGCACTTATTTCGCAATCCATGAATGCCGTACTTTAGCACAAAAAATTAATTACAATTAAATAATTAATAATAATTTAATTTAAATAAAATAGCCTATAGTTTCCGGGCAGGTTTTTGAACATACCATATCAGCAGCTTTGATCAAGTCATCGGCATGTTTTTCCATTTTTTCCTTCCAATCTGACAATTGGCCTTTGTAAATAAATTCCAGTACGATTTTGAAGACTTCAGGTTTAATTCCATGCATTGTAACTTCTTTTTCTGTCTCGTGCCGTTCGCTGAACAGTATTTCAAAATAGACATATCGTGTCGATAAAATATTTTTGTGAGCACGAAATTCAACGCCTTTTACGATAAACGTAACATCAGAAAATAATTTCGTATCAAAAAGCTTAGCAGTAGTATTTCTAGCCTCCTTTAGCTCTGCCTGATCTTCTGGTGAATTTGAGTCTTCGGAAGTAATAAGATCTGCCATGGCTGGGAACAAAAAATTAAACTTTAAATGAAAAGAAATTGTGTTTGTTTACTAAAGTGACGCAAAAGATATGAAAGGGAAAAAATTTATAGTTTGACACTTCGTACTGAAGTTGAGCGTGCTATTTCAAACTTGTTATTTAAAGTTGAAAATGATGACATTGAGATGGCGCCACCTAAATCCACCTAAAGCCATCAATTTAAATTTCTATGGTTTTTGAATGAATAAAGAAAAGTGTTGCTTTATTCAGCTTCGGCCAACGGAACAAAAAAAAATCAAAACTGAACTCCTATATAATTCGTTCAATTTAAATGTAAATATCCACATGTTACGAAAAACCATCTTCAAAGGTTGCATTATTATTGCAGCTGGGTTAGCAATTGTTGTAATAACAAAAAATAACGAATGTGATTCTAAAATCGAAAAAACAAAAATTGAAACAACAACAGAAGACCCTTGGAATCCAACCAACTTGACTCGTTATTAGAATTCAGTTTAATTATTATGATCAACAGCGGACGGCCGATTCTTTCCGGGGAGGAGAGTTAATACACATAATACATCTCTGAAATATTTTATATTCAAAAGCACATATTACGCAACACACATCTTTGAAAACATAATTTCACTGGCTCACTGTTATATTGAGCAAGCATCAAAAATTCAATTATTTGATAATAACTATTGTGCATTCGTTCATTAACGAAGTTGAGAAGTTAATTAAATATGGCACAAATATAATTGGAAATAAAATTGCACTTCGCCCATTTGGCTATAAAAATTGCTTGTACGCTTCAAATTTCAATTTTTCAAAATCCAATGTACGAAATTTCAATTCAATTTAACTTAAAATTGTAAATAATAATAATAATGTGTAACAATCGGGGACGATCGTTTTTAGTGTGGGGAGAGTTAATATCGATAACGATATTAAGCTTCAATTCTGAAACCGTTTGCATTTCAAACATCAAAAAATCAACTAACACACATAATCTCG